TTATTTTCTTTCTTGCATGGGAGGGGTGAGCAGGAAAGACTCGCACTGCATTGCAGCTGTGGGGACTGTGAATATTCCCAAACACACAAGACAGGAACTGCATGGACTAACCTAGAAAGAAGCCAGTGCCTGGCTTGTTTTGAAATATCCTGTTCCACCACTGCAAACTGAGTGTGGTATTGGAACCAGACACAGTTTCTAAACCAGCCTGTTCAGGCAGACAGTGCCAGCTTTGAGCCTTGAAAACCATAAATACAGCTTGGGCACCAACTGAGCCACACCACTGCTCACACACAAGTGCTTTCCCACCCAAACAGCTGCTCTGCTGTCACAGCCAAGAGCAAAAGGAAAAGCAATGTCCCAGCAGAACTGCAGCTCCAGGACTGGAGCAGGGGGCTGTGCCCAGGCTCAAAGCAGTGCCAGCATCACCCTCCCCACCCCGAACTCAGGTAAGTAAATGCAGTAAATGGAGTTTAGGGGGGAGAAGGGAAGGTGTCTTGCACACAGGCAGAGGAGAATGTAATTTGCATATGAGATTCAGCAGTGGAACCACAGCCTCCCTTAGGTTGGAAAAGGTCTCCAAGGTCATCACACCCAACTGCTTCCCAAGGCCAGCCTTAACCCATGTCCTCAGGTGTCATATCTGCACATCTTTTAAATCCTTCTAAGGATGGTGATTTTACCAGTGCCTGGGCAGCCTGTGTCAGGGCTGGAGAACATTTTGGTGAAGAAATTTTCTCTAATCTTCAGTGTAAACCTCTTCTGGTGCAACTTGAGGCTGTTCCCTGGGAATAGAGTCTGACCCTCCTGGCTGTCCCCTCCTGGCAGGGAGTTGTGCAGAGCCAGAAGGTCCCTTCTGAGCCTCCTTTTCTCCAGGCTGAGTCCCCCCCAGATTCCTCAGCTGCTCCTGGGGCTCCAGACCGTTCTCCAGCTCTGTGTCTTTTCCTGGACATGCTCCAGCCTCTCAAGATCTTGCTTGGCATGAGGGGCCCATAACTGACCCCAGATTTTGAGGTACAGCCTCAGCAGTGCCCAGCACAGGGAGATGATCCTTTCCCAGCTCCTGCTGGCCGTGTTATTGCTGATAAAATGAACACAAATCTCTGTGTGTTTGCACTCCACTTTGGAAACCTTTCAGCCTTGGTGTAACAGCACCAGCACTGCACTCCAGAACTCTGCAAGGGTGGAATTTTTTATAGCAATTTAAGCTATTTCCAGCCTTCTGATAGTGAAGTGTTTTGGAAGGCAGCAAGTCTGTTATTCCCAGAGAAATCTGGGCCTGCCTCCAAGTCTTATAAGATCTTTGGGGTACTGCTAGGTTTGAACAGTGGCCTTTGGGGGAAGATTTGTCTTTGCCATGCTCCTGCTCTCCTCTTTAGTGGAAACACACAGTTCATGGTGTGTTTAAGACTTTTGCCAGGGGTGGTAATAATGTCCAAGAGACCCCATGCTTGGGAATTCCCTCAGCTCTTTTCTCTTGCTCCTGTTGTAAAATTAATATTTAATCCTCCCTCTAGCACTGAAGCAGCCTGGACTGGCTCTGTGTGCAGTGTTGTAGCCTCCACCTTTCTCCAGGACCTTTCTGGGCACAGGCTGGAGATTGACTCAGCTACTGGTGACAGGTCCTGGAATAAGAGTGGTGCTGTGCTTCAGGGCTGCCAACACATGTGCAAAAGAAGTCAGTGCTCTGCAGTGTAATACTGAGGGCTGTTCAGTTAAACTTTTCTCCTTCTTGCCTCCTTCAAGGTTTTCCATTCATGGAGAAACACATGAAGCAATAGGTCTGCAGGTCTGAGTGGCCTGGGAGCTGCTCTTCCCACAGGAATGAGCAACCAGACAGTGCCCAAAAGCTCAGCCAGGTGGGTGTGATCTTGCATCCTGCAGGCTGCCTCCTTCCAGGTCCTGGCAAAGGAGAGTCCGGAGCCACTGAGCTTATTTCATTTTTAACCACAGCCCAGCAGATCCCACTCTTTGCTCGAGGCTGGCTGGGCTGCTCTGCAGATGATCCTGCGATGTTGTGACAGTCCAGAGAACCATTATTCCGAGCTCTTGCCAATCACCAGCCTGCTGCCAGTCTGTGTCAAATGAAGCATCCCAGGCCCTGTCACATTAAATCCAGCAGCTCTTTCATTTAGAGCAGAGCAGTTTGTTTATTTGTGTTCCCTCCCCTCTTTTTGGGATGCCACACTCAATCATCTCTGGGGTTTGCTCTGCTTGTGCAAAGCCTGTGACCACAGTGAGGCTCAGTGTCCTTTGAAGGGCCCCTCATCCTTGGGCAAGCAACACTGTGGTGGTGTTTTGGGAAGTGTAAGGAAGGGGAAAGCACAGAGTACTGGTGTGGCTGAGAGAGTGGGTCCAGATCAGTCACTCACACGGGTTCAAGGGCAGGATGTCATCCCATGGCTCTGCTGGAAATGAGAAGGAGCGATGCAGAGTAGTGGCACATCTGGCTGCCCCAGCCAAGGCTGGGAAGCATCTCTGTGCCTCCCTTTCCTGCCTTGAGAACAGGAAGGGTGAGTGAGGAGCAGCCCATTCTCAGGGAAAGGGAAGATCAAGACATGATGCTGTGACCATATGGAGGGCTGGAAAGGGGAATGGTGAGATTTCAGCTGAGGATAAAGAGCAAGCCCACTTTCTCCACCAGCATTTGGGTACAGAGCTGGATTTTTCCAAGGCAGGATTGCCAGTGAGGCAGCGCCCCCTCCTATTGCTCCTGAGCAGCTCCTGCCCTCTGCAACCTCCCCCTGCCACACCACGAAGCACCACAGTGCTGCAGCAGCTGGGTGGAAGCAGTGAGAGTGCTCTTGGGGCAGGGATTTCTCTCAAGCAGACGTGATTCCTCCTTCATCAGCACAAATTCTCCTGTTCTTGCAGAAGCCTCTTGAATCAAGCCTCTCTGTGCAAAGGCTGTGAAGTCTGGTCAGCTTCTCTTGAGTTCTTAGCTTGGGAGAACAGGGATAAAAAAGAGATTCTTTGGGTTTTTTTATTTATAATGCATCTGCAGTAAGAGGTGGTTCGTTTCTTGTCATCGCTTGCTTTGGTGTCTAATTTGCCTCCTGTAGGATTTGAACTCAAATATTATGATGGGAGGTTTTATTCCCCTTTACAAGAACTAAAAGCAAATGCACAGTTAAAAGACAGAATTCCAGGGCTTCCAATCATTTGACAGAGTTATTTCTGTGAGCCAAATTAACTGAGCTTCCTCATTACTAGTGTCACTTTGTGTGCTAGCTAAATGCTCTTGAATTCAGCCCCAACCCATTTCAAAAAATACTCTCCTTAACTTTCTTGGGAGGGGCCCTCAAGCTGATCGAAAGCAAAAGGGATTTCAACTGTAGTCTTTTTCCCCTTGAAGAGTGGCTTTCATCTGTTGCTGCTTGCTTCACAAGAGAGTTTCTGGTTATTTCATGGTTATTGTGCAAATTCATGGGGAGAGCTTCCCTATGGATGAATGGAGATCTTTTCAAGGAGAAAGGGTGTCTACTGCTTTTAAGGAGTGTCATGTAACAAAACCTCATACAAACCCCCGTGTGAGGTGTTGCTTCCATACCAATGTCCCTTTAAGAAAGAGCAAGGGTAAATCCAGCTTCATTATCCAGCATGTCCAGCAATCAGCCCAGTGACATCCTTCCCTTTCATGACACGGAACAGCGATTGACTCATGGGGTGACTCTGCTTGCAGCTGAAGCCACGTACAGTAACTGGAAACCCAGAGAGACTCTGCAGTCTCCATGGAGACAGCACACTTACAACTTAATGTGATCAACAGATGCTGCAATAATCTTGAAAGATGGAGAAAATGTTTCAAACCGAGTGTTGTTTATGGTGGTTCAGTGGATGTTCAAATTTGCTCTGTTATGACTGAACTCCATGTAAACACACACTCTGGAAAACACACAGACGTGTGTGTGTGTGTGTGTGTGGAGGGAGAAATCTCTCGTGGGTAAAGCAGGAGGAGGTGGGTGAGCACTTTTCTGTTCTCAGCTTCTGCCCTTGGGGAGGTCACCAGAACTTTCTCTCCTATGCCAGTTTATCTGTAAAATGGGGCAGTGCTAGTCAGGTAATGGCTATGGCATCTTTTATGCTCTGGGGTGGATGACTGTAATGAGATGAAACTAGTAAGATTCTGATGGATGAGCCTATAATCTCAGTGAATTGAATAGGGATCTCCCTCTGTGCTGCATGACCTAATGCTGGAGCTGACGTCAAGATTTGCAGAGCAGATTTATACTTCTGCTTGATTTTCCTGTGAAATCTCTAATGAGTGATCATTTCTCACTGAATCTCATAAGCTGTTGTAAAGAAATGACCTGTTTTCTGTCTTCCCTGCTCTGATATTGGTACAGCCCCCATTACTGTCACATCTGGACCCTTGCACCAGTCCCAGAGGAATGGAGATGCACTCCTCAAACAGGAGGAAGGCCATGCAGATGCTAGTTTGACAACAGAAAAATTCTTGGAGCATTACTGCTAGAAAGGATGTTCCAGGTGTAGAAGCTGGCTCAGCCTTCATTTCACTGATTTGCTGGTAAGGTAAAAATTCATGCTGTACTTATTTCTTATTCTTTCTCCAAGCATCCTCTGCTGGCCACTCCTGGAGATGGGCTGCCGAAACCACACTGCCAAGCAAATTTTATTTATAAGCATACAAAGCCTTGAATTAGTGGGCTGAAAAGCACCAGGACCCAGGCCCCAAAGGCAATTCATCAGCGTTTTGATGAGGACCACTTTCACAAACACTATTAATGCCTCTCTCCCTCCCCTTTGAAGGGAAAACACAGCTGAATATGAACTCCCCATGGCAAAGTTCTGCATGACCTGGTATCCTCCAACAGGGGACAAGTTGCTGGCTGCACTGCTGTTTGCTGGGCACGTAGCTAAAACCCTCTGCAGTGGTTAGGGACTTCATCCACACAGCTGCCTTAAGGAGGGGCATTTCTGCAGTCCAAGCATCCTGCTGGGAACCACCTGTGGGGTTTTCAGCAGTCCCTCCCCACAGCTGCTGCTTTTCCTCCCACCTAGGGCCAATCTTCTTTGCCTGCAAGGCTCTCACCCAGCCAGGCTCCTTGGTGTACTCTTGTTCCTGAGAAAAGGTGCTCAGCATTGTGAACTCTCCTCCCCCTCTGCAGCCAGGGGTCAAGAATTTCCAGGGAGAAACATCTGCTGACACTTTTGGGCATCCACCCTGGAGAGATCCTCACCCATGCGGGCAACAGAGTCTTCCTCAGTCACTGCTTCCCACGTTACTGCACAGGTACCTACAAAGAGCTGAACCCATAGAGCAGCCACAGGCATCAGCAGAATTATTGATCAGGGTCTGTCTCCAAATAATGACAGAAATGCATCTCCTTTCCAAAGAGACGGGATACCTAATTCAGTGAAAGGAATTCCTTGTTGAAACCCCAGATAGGCCCATAAGATCAGCCTGATTATTTTTTGAAGCCTTGGTTCCTCCAAATAAGACTGAAAATTGAATTAGCTTGGAGAGAGACAGCCCTGGCCAATCACTCAGGAAAGCTGAAGGACAGCTTATTGATTTTCATGTTTCAAAAATATTAAATGATATCCCTTTTTGTTATTTAAAATGCTGCTTAAGCAATTTAGTAATGTGATGTTGGAGGCTCAGTTCCAGGCTTTGAATCAGCTGAAGGAAGGGGAGGAATTTCCCTTGACATGAGAGCTAGGTGGAAGAGAGATTTAGTATAATTGCCTTCCCTTCCAAATAATTGATGGCACCAAAAGAACGGCTGTATTTTGCTGGCTTCCTTTCCTGCATACCATTTATTAAAATATAGTAGTTAATTATGTAAATAGTTGATTTATAATCAGCAACACTGGTGGTTAATTGATTTTTGTGTGTGAATTTATATGACAGGGAAATACTGGTAAGGTGATTATACTGTCCTGCTAGGCCACAGCATGCTTGGGGAGGGGAAGAGGTGGTCTGGTGAGCTTCAGCAGATGGATTTTTGGTCCTTTCCTTGGGAATTTAAGTCTTCTCCAACTGGATGGACCCTATCTGTCCAGTTTACTCCAAGGGTGTGTGGAAAGAGAGTGTCTTCCAGGAAATCTCTTCTAGCTGAGAATCAGCTCTGCTTGGCTGCTTCTGAAGGTGTTATGTGGAGAGTGACACCCCTTCCCGAGCCTCTGCAGTGCTGCTGGGATTAAACTGTGGTGATTTCTTTTCTCTGCCGCCCCACCCCTTCCCTTCATATTGTTTCAGGCAAATATTTCAGAAACAGCTCTTATTCAAATGAGTGTGCAGCTATAAATAAAATATCTTCTCCTCCCCTTTCTCCCATCCAATCTCAAGTCGTGAACCTCTGCCTAAGCAGGAGAATGGGAATTACTTCCAAATGCAAACTTGGTGGCTTTAAGGTGATGTTTGTGCTGTAGCCCTGTTTCCAAGGGACTCATCACATGCAGGGACACCTGGCTGGTCTTGATCCTTTAGCATTGAGGGAGGGAAGGTGTGGAGTGAGCTGAGACTCTTCAAGATTATCTGAATGCTACTTCAGCTGTTTTCATCCCCAGTTCAGGTGCTTTTCGTACCTTTTTTGTCTGAGGGTAAAAATTCTCTTCCATGCCAGTGGCGGGGGGGAAGCTCTCCATGTCTTTCTCGCCCACTTCCTGCAGTGCTGCTGGGTTTAGGATCAGCCACCTTGAACTCATCCAAAAAGCTCCATCCACCTGGGCAAAAGGTTCCTGCATTGGGGCTGGCTTCTCCCTGAGTGCTGCAGGTTTGGAAGCTGGGTGGTGTGTAAATCCCTCCTGTGCTGCCTGAAGTTCCTTGACCTTCAACTAAGACCTAAGCTCTCTCTTTTCTGTGATGAGTTGGCGCTATTAATTGGAAATCCAATTTTGGAGGATAGCCAGGCTAATGCTGAGCCAGCATCACTTGGTTCTGCAGGCAGGATATAGGACATGCCTTGGTCTATCTATAGCCAGGGAAAGTCAGCTTGTTCTGCCTTATTGCAGGGGAAAGTGGGGTAAATAGGTCCCAGTTCCTCCCTCACCAGTCTGGCACCTCACACCATTATACTTTTTCCTATTTCTAGCTTGAAGCAATAGAAACTGTACAACAGAACTGCCAAACATAGATTTTTTTTTTTTTTTTCACTCAGAAAACAGGATAAAATTACATCAGTCCTCTGCAAGGAAAACATCTCATTGAGGTTCCTCCAGCATGGGTGAAGAGCAGTCCTTCCACCCCAAACGCTGACCTTGGGGTGAGTTCATTCCCCCTCAGAGGGGCTGGTCCTGCCCCCCTTGACTGCAGAGGGAGCCACGATTCAGAGCTCTGTTGTGAATGAGCTGCTCCCTGGAGTGCTTGGGGCTCACATGTGTGGCACATGAGATCACACTCCTGTGTCCCAAAAGGGGGATTCTTCAGTGTATCCTCAAAATGCAAAACACTTGTAGAGCTGCCTCTCAGAGGAGTCTGTTGTGTTACATCACCGAGGGGTAAACAAGGCATGCAGACCCTGGTGAACAGCAGGCTCTCAAAAGCCACACTTAGCAGAGACCTCACAGTCAGAAATGTGGCTTTTACTGACATCCAAGTTTGTCCCAGAGTTCCAGATTGGTTTGGGTTGGAAGGGACTGTAAAGCTCACCCAGTTCCACTCCTGCCATGGGCAGGGACACCTCGCACTAGTCCAGGTGGTTGTGTGGATATCTCATGGTGTGCAAGGGGAGGGACACGCTGCAGTGCTCTAAGGGGCAGTGGTCAGCCCTGGGCTTGGACATAGCTCTGCCACGTAGCCCGCTGCTGGCAGTGAGCACTGAGGTGGGACAGTGGCTGCCAAGGGCTGAGCCAGAGCTGATCAAACTCCATCTGATTAATACTAACTGCTCATAAAGTGTGTCAGGCCCAAACGTGTATCCAGTGTTAATGAATCCTCTGAAAGGCCCTGGGAAGTGGGAAGGAAAGGAAATTTGTATCTATTTTTAAAGGAATGAAACAGGAGTATTTGATTAGGTGGTGCTTGGAAGTTTTGGGTTAATTCTGCTTCTCCGTTTGTCTTGAGGAGGTTGGGTGGGCTTCTAAAGCAGCACTGGGGGAGACAGGTGGCTGCACATTTGGGCTCTGGTCCAGGAGATGCAGAATGACAGAGTCATCACAAGTCCCTGCTGAATTGTGAAGGAATTCCCTGCTTTTGGGTCAGAAGGGGAGAGGTCCCTACCTGTCCCCACACTGCAGGTTCTAGCCAAGGGCACTGAGGCCACTGTGGGTGCATTCAGGGCCACGGCAGAATGAGAAGGCTGCCAACGCCTCAGCAATGCTGTGACTGTCCCTTCAGGTACCAAAGCCAAGTACAGTGGTTTGGGAGTGAGGGAATCCAGCTCAGTTTAGTCTGGACTTTTGGGAGAGCTGGAAAGGATTGCTCTGCCCCAAAGCTGTTACCTTGTGCACAATCTCTCTGCTTCTTTTCAGGCATCACCGTGTTATCTTCCATTATTGTCACATTACCCCGACAGCAGCTGAAGCTGCAAAATCCAGGCCTTAGTTTTAATTTCAGTCAGGCTTTTGATTAATGCAGCAAAGCCAGTAGAAACCTCTAGTGCAGGCACAGCTTGGTGACTTCCATGCAGGGCATCACATCATGTACCTTACCAGCTTTGAGGGTTCCTGACAAAGCGCTTCCAGACCCTGCAGGTGGGAACAATAGGTTTTTCAACTGCTTTGGCTAAAAGCATGTGAGTTCCAGGGTCCCCGTTTGGTCTCTGTGTGTAGGCACAGCGCATTGCTAAGGATGGAAATAGATGTCAAAACAGCAATGCCTTGAACATCCCAGGGGAATCCTTGAGAATCCCCCCAGAGCTTGGGCCAGACCTGCTGCTGCTTGTAACAGCCCTGTGAATAAACAGAGCACTTTCTTCTCCATGCTGGGGAAACCTGGGCCTTTCACAAGCAATAGAATTTGCACAAAACACTTAAAACTCACATAAATGTACCTTTAGACAGCCAGATCTTGCAGGAGCAGAATGAAACCATAAAGCTCTGGGTTTTAATTAGTTTCTCACCCTTGCTATATCAAACAACCATCATTGCTCATGTCAAACCAGTGCTTATTCTAGGATATAAAAAGGCTGAGTTCCCTGACAGGGCTGAGGGATGGGAAGGTGGAGAAGGGACATGAGCAGCCTTTTGGGCCCATGTGGTTCCTGGCCTGTGGTTTCCCTGGCCCAGTGCTTGCTTGGTGCTTTCTAGTATTGGTACAGCCCCCATTGGTACAGATGGCCCAGAGGTCCCCTCCTTATTTCTCCTGGGGATGGGGCAGAGAGCACCAGGGAAGGACCTGCACCCACAGCTGTCCCAGCCCTGAGAAGCTGAGCAGGGTCAGGGACACCTCAGTGCCTGGGGACGAGAACTGTGTGGCAGCTCCAAAACAGCCCCAGCACAAGGTTCCTGATGTCCCCTCCGGACCCTGGCAGCCTCTCAGCACCTGGCAGACAAAGTTTGCAGGGTTTTTCCTCTTCTCCTGTCAGTCTGCCATCCATGTATGCACAGATGGCTGATACAGAGCTGTTGTAAAGTGTTGTTAAAGATTGAGGGGGTTTTATTTGCTCTCCCTTTGATTGATGCATGAACAGACCTATACAGATGTGATAAGGTCAAATGTAAATTTAATCAGTTTTGTTAATTTATTTATTTTTTTAATTCCTCTGTGATGCATAAACAGATCAGAGTGTTGGGAAGAAGCTGACAGTGGGGGAGCCTGTGATAACTTTCAGCTTCTGTCCAAATAATTTTAATGACAGACTGCTGAACTGTGGGGTTCCAGAGCTTTGCAGGAAATCCTGGGCACAAGAGCTTTTAGACACAGGAATTCCTGGAAAGAACTAGAAAATTCCTACAAATTTTCCACAGCACAGCATCAGATCCAGTCCTAAAATAGGTCTGAAAAGGACACACTGTCAGATGTTTGCACATCCTGCCCTCAGCTCTGCCTTGTGCTATTTCTCTTTTGGGAGGTGCAGGTGGGGTGCTTGCAGAAATCCAGCTGCCTGATGTTGGTAACCACTCTCAAAAGGATTAGCCCTGATTTCTCTGTTATCCTGCTCAGTAAAGCAAAGCTGCAGCATGGGAAGCTGATGGGTTTTTTGGCACGCAGCTGAGTCATTTGGTTGCGGGGACAACTTCAGGCTTCAGGAACAGCGGACAGTGGGATGGGCAGGACTTGCAACCACACTTGAGGTGAAATGATGATGTCTTAAGCAGTCAGTGTGATGCTCCAAACCCCATCCCTCTGCCATCATTTCCTCCTCCTTAAGCAGAGCAGGCTGTGCTGTAGACCAGTGCTGACGGGTGCCACAGTTGTGTGGCTGGTGCAGGATTTATACTTCACGTTAATTTGATGAGTTTGGCTGGTTATAGACAGAGTTAAGTGAATGCATCAGCCCCAGTTTTGTATTATGCTCCAGTGTCTTCATCAGCTTCACAGCCCTCACTGGACCAGCTCCAGGAGCCGCACATCTGTCCCCACCTGAGGAGCTCAGAACTAGATGCAGCACTCCAGATTTGCCTCACCAGGGCTGAGAAGAGGGGTGGGATCACCTCCCTGATAGAGACATCATCCCAAAAGACACTCTGACTGCAGCAGTGATGAAGGCTTTGGGGGAGAAAGAGGAAGAGTTCAGCTATATGGCAAAGGGCCAATCAATGCTATTTACCCTCAGGCAAAAGAGCAATCTGTGGCCTGTTTATTTGGCTTGGCTGTATTTATAGCTGCAGCCAAAGTGCCCCTGCTGTGGGGAAGAGCTGCCAAGTGTGGGCCAGCAGTCGGTGGATTGAGCTGTAGGAGCTGGGGCTGACGGCCTGAGGGTGCCGCCTCAGCTGGGCCTCACCTCCGGACCCCAGCGATGGGGCAGAGCCCGGCGGGAGCAGCGTGGCTCTGCATCTCAGGACAGCCTTGGCTCAGTGTAGGACACGTCCTCTGTTTTCATTGCTGGGGGAAACAAACCTTTTGGCGTGTGCTTCCCTTCACACCCCATGCAAATCCAGCTGTCCCCGCTCATGAGCAGATGGCAGGGTGAGAGCAGAGATGCCTCAGGTGAGTTGGGCTGGGAGGCACACGGAGACACAAGTGTGAAGAGATACATCCTTGCATTGTCAAAATATTGGGATGTCTACTTAAAGCAGAACAGAAGGGATTGCAAAAGCTGCCAGCTCTGCAGGTAGCAGCAGGTGGGTCTGAGTGTGGGCTGGGAGCTGGGGTGAATGCCACAGTGCTGGGTGAGTGCCCAGCTGCAGGTGCTCCAGGGGCTCTGTGCCCTGAGGGCCCTGCAAACAATAACAGGAACATTTAAATGCCATAAAGCTCGTTTGAACATGAAGATGGTTTGTACTGAAAGAGGTTGTTTTGCACGGTTCCTTTGATGGGTCTCGGCAGATAGCACCAATTATAAAATTATTAACAAACGAATGTGCTCCTTCGCTCCAATTAAATGATAAGAGCCAAAGCAAAGGGGCAGATTTTTATCATTATCAGATTACAGGCCCATATTGTGCTGATAATAAAGAGGGCACTTTCTAATGTGTTACCTCCAATATGGCTCCTTAGATTATTGTTTGGCTGTAGAAGAAATAGAAAGAACTTTGCAAAAGCAATAATAATGTGGAAGTGTCTTTATCACAGACCGTTCCAGGGAGTGTAACAAAAAGAGCCCACAATGACTCAGGCCAATGACAATGAGGATAATAAGAACATCGGACGTGGGGAGGGTGCCCACACAGCAGAGCACTGGGCCAGAACATCTCAAGTCTGTTCAAGAGATAAAGCCCTATGAGGGAGTTTGCTTCAACTGGGGAGGCAGTTTGCTGCAGCCTCTGGAAGAGTGAAAAGTGCCACAGGAGGAGGAAGAAGAAAGGAATATTAAAAGCTTTTGTGGGGGGCGGGAATCCTATTCTTTTTCCCATGTAAAGTTGGGTAGGATTCTGGATGCAGCTACAAATACACGGCTCCTCTTTCACTGCCTGAAATCTGATGTTCCAGAGGTGATAAAATGTAATTAGACAGTGTAGTACTAATTCAGCTGCCATGTGATATGTTGAAGGAGGAGAATACCTACTGCATGGGAGGAGAGACAGAATGAATTTCCCCTTCCTGACCCTGAAGCAATCATACCTAGAAGCCTGAAAGCTGTTTTTATTTTCCTCTCTGTAGGTGACAGACAGCGGTTTAAAAGAGTTCTACTCTGACTCTGCCTTGCTATGTGTTAGGTTG